AGAGGGTGTTGAATAATGGTACCTCTCTTATAAGGCCGTTGCAAGCTGGCATCTTCAAGCATTTAGCATCAGGCACTTACTAAGCATTGCACTGGCTCCTTCTATGTGACCGTGTGGTATTCCCTCATGTATCCCACATTCTGCTTCTGGAGCCCTAATAATGGACATAAATTTCCTTCCGACTCTCTGCCACCTAAAATGCCCTCATTCTCATTTGCATACATACCTCCTTTAGGAGCCTGCTGGAGAGATGGGGGAAATTGTCAGCCATCTTCACATTTAACTTCCCAAAGTATTGCCAGATTGCTCTCCGGAAAGGATGCACCCAGTCGTCCTCCTACCCTCAGTGCTGGATGGCCCCTCTTCCACACTCTTCTCTAGAACTTGGTGTTCTTAGGCGGCCTAAGTTTGGCCAGGCTAATGCATGTGAAAGCATTGCTTTCCTCTCTTATGCAGATCTGTTTAGCACAGGGGTGGGCAACTCCTGGCACGCGTGCCAAACATGGCACGCCAGTAACTTTTGCTGGCACGCGAAACCCTCTCTTATAATCTTCCATTTTTAAAAAATATATATATATTTTATTGATTTTTTACAGCGAAGAAGGGAGAGGGATAGAGAGTTAGAAACATCGATGAGAGAGAAGCATCGATCAGCTGCCTCCTGCACACCCCCTACTGGGGATGTGCCTGCAACCAAGGTCCATGCCCTTGACCGGAATTGAACCTGCGACCCTTCAGTCCGCAGGCCGACGCTCTATCCACTGAGCCAAACTGGCTAGGGCTCTATTACCACAGCTTTAATAATCAGACAGGACAACCTAGAGGGGCTTGGGCCATGCTTGCTGCGTCAGCAAATTTGATAATGGATTTGGCTTTTGGATCAGTTTATAGGCATAATAATATCGCATCCCATATTTTTAAAAAATCATGCATGCAACTTGGAAGGGACTCACCTGGGCCTCGGTGTCCCCATCTGTAGCCCCCATCCTTTTCACAGCCCTTCCGTTTCCTAAATCAAACACTTGTAACTATCACAGTCAGCTTCCTTTCCAGCACCCACTGGGAGACACGTCCTGTTCCCAAGGTCCTGTGTGAATGAGACTGGTGGGCAGGTGTCACTCAGCTCTCCACCGACTCTATGCCTGCACCCGCCGGCCGAACACGGCTGGACAAAAACACACACTACAATGAGAATGGGCTCCCCGTAAGTTCAAGATCACTCCTGTCCATCCACTCTGCTGTGCTCCTGGAAGCTACTTTACACGTTCTCATCCCTCCTCTGACCTCTACCACCTCCTCACGGTCCTCGCTCCCACCCTTGACCCCACTCCTATGTCACA